TCTGCTCTTTATTATTTTCTTCCTTCAATTTTCTTTAGGTTTAACTAGCTCTTTTCTTTCTCTCTTCTTCCTCCTCTTTTTTCTGCAGTACTGGGATCAAATCCAGAATCTTTCATATATCAGACAAGTGCTCTACCACTAAGCTACTTGCCCAACCTTCTTTGAGACAGTCTTGCTAAATTGCCCAGGCTACCTTGGAACCTGCAATCGACCTGCTTCAACCTCCTGAGTAGCTGGGATTATGACCTGCACCACTATGCCTGGCTTCTGGTTTTTTAAGTTGTAAATTTAGATTCTTATTTCCAAACCTTTCTTTTTCCATATATATATTTAGTATGATAAATTACTCTTTAAATACTTCTACAGCTGCATTTGGCAGCTTTTGATGGATTGTTTTAATTCTTTCTGTTCAATATTTTCTAATTTCTTGTGATTTAAGACACAAGTTATTTAAAAGTATACTTAATTTTCAAACATGTAGAAATTTTTCCAGATATGGTATCAAGCTTCTTAAATGTACAGTGATTTACACTATGACCCATAATTTGGTCTATTTAAAAAATTTACTTGAGCTATGATTAATATAGAAAACACTGTACACACTCAATGTATACATATTGATGAATTTTGATAAAGTACATGTGTAGCCATCATCACAATGTCGTAAAATACCCATCACTATTAATTATCTTGTGATAAGAACACTTATGTAAGATTTACCTCTTAGCAAATTTCTAAAATGTAATACAGTATTGATAACTATAGGCAGTATGCTGTATAGTAGCATCAATCAGAGTGCCTAATACATGATAAGCTCTCCATAAATGCTATTGTAAAGAATCAATCCAATGCAAGGCAGTGGGGTAGGCATGGCATAAAATATTCTTAAACTTATCATTAGGCAAATGTAAAGCCATATTTTTGAAAACTGCCTATTTTGATTCCTTTTTCCTTTATCAATTGTATTTCCTTTGTGAATTATTTCTATTATCAAAAATCCCAGTTTTCCTTAGGTATGAAGTCTTTAAACACTGAGTAAATCAAAATCTCCCCGGTCCCAGCATGTGCTGGGGATCAAACCTCTGCTAGACACACCAGACAAGTGTACCAGTCACACTCCCGGCCTTAAAAGTCTCTTATGCAGAAATTTCCAGTTACTGATGCATACAGCTGTCACTTTGCCAAGTCTGACATTAAAGTCATTATAACTCAACTCCAAAGCTTTCCAGATCACATTCAACAACTGTAGTATTCCTTCCTAAAATTTCCTGTTTTGATCTATTAGTTTGGTCCTCTATTATTTTTCCAAATGCTAGCAAGTTATCTTATACCTGTATACCTGTTATCGTATACCTTGTATCTTATACCTGTTACTCTTATACCTCCTATAGCCTTATGATGCCTCTGTGGAGATACCCTCAAAGCACATTTATCTTGTTTTGATGTAATCTTATCCCCCCTCCCAATACTGGGGATTGAACCCAGGGCCTTTGCTACAAAGCTACAGCCGCAGTCTTTTTATCATTTAAAAAAATTTGTTGAGACAGGGTCTAAATTCTTCAGGCAAGACTGTTGGATTTGCAATCCTCCTGCTTTGACCTCCCGTTAATTTGTAACTTCTATAATTCTAACAGGTGAGTATGCCTGTTACAATTTGCTAAACCTGTTTTGTGAACATTTTTGTAGATGTGGTATACCATCCCTTTATCTAATTCACTCAGTACACGTTCCTTAAATTCCAAAGGAACCTAATACTATGTGTAACCATTTTTACTGAATGGTCCTTTCTTTTGTGATCATTGTGAATATTTTCATTTTTGGCTATTATGTGCTTGCAGAATGCTCCTAGAATTTGTCTACCCTTTTATTAAACTCGGTTCTGTACTGAAATATTGCTGAGACATCTTAAATTTTTCAGTTCCAGTCTTACAATGACTTCCATTTTTTTCATTCATATGTAAAAATGTTTCAATTTTTCAATGCCATTTGGACTCACACCTATATTGGTCAAAGGCGGAAAAAGAAATTAAGTGTTAAAAAAATAATTTGACATATCTTAAAACTCAGGCAAACTGTCCTGTAATAAATGAAAGGGAACAAATTTGGAAAGATGTTTTCATTTACAATTCTGGAAAATTATGCCTCTCATTATAGTACCTCATGGCAACTGAAAAAAAATAGTATTTGTTTCCTATCAGTTTACTAGGTGTCACCAGGGTAGGATCATACCCCTTTCCCAGTATCAGTGCCCATTTTATTTCGAGTCCCACCTCATGATCAAATTTCATGTCAGTGTACTGAGCCTGTAAATTACAAGGAACATTTTATTTTAACCTTGAGGACTGATGATAATCCAGGAAAGATGCTCTAAATTTGTCCCAAGGTACATATTATAGGCCAAACTATTTGGTGTGGAGACAGTTATTTTATGTTGGCAAAGGAGAGCTACCAAGAAAAGGGGAGGCTAGTAGATACCGAGTATTCTGTAGTCATACTTGTGGGAGTTGTTTTAACTATACCAAAGTAGAACACGAAGTGCCCGGTCACTTGCACATGTTAAATATAAACAGGAGCTATCTTGCTTATAAGTAAAATAAGTGAAATTTCTAGTAAGTAATCATTCCTAGGGTCAGTTAACTGCAGAAGACTCTGCACTGACCAAAAAGCAAAATGATGGAAGACCTAGGGAAGCAGATTGCTTTGGATATAAATTGTTTGGGAAGTCACTCCTAATCTGACAAGACCCAGCTACGTCACCAGATTTGAGCCTGTTGGCTATTTTTTAATTGTAGCTCGAGAAAGGCAGGTTAGGGTGGGATAAGCTACATGGCTCTAGGGAGACATTATACATGATGGAATCAGTCTTTAATGATAGCTTCTGTGGCATAAATCCTGAACTTGCATGCCTTTTGCATTCTTCCATACTTCTACACCTCAGTACTTTAATAGCAAAAGACCTTTTGTTTATACTTGAGCTGATGTTAAAACAGGCCAGTGTGGGGAACATTTCTGTCAAGTTCCTTCCAAAGTGACAGTGAAATCAAGATCCTTAGGAGAGCTGGTCTGAACTGGTAAACACGAATTCTACTTAAAGTAGAATTTTATTTACCCCATGGGTCTTATGTGGCATGGTCACTACCATATCCCCAGAGCTTGGAAGAGCAGTACACAATACATTTGTAGAAACAATTTAATACACTTGTAGTATCTGATGGTTTTATTACACTTCATGGTTGGAGATTGCTATTGTTGACAAGTCAAATTCAAGATTGTCCAAATCTTTATAGAAGACTGTTGATACTGCCAATATCGTTTCTCAAAGATGAATAACTAAAGCTGGATGTGTTAGCATACATTTGTAACCCAGCACTCTGGGAGGCTGAGGCACGATCCCAAGGTCAAGCCCAGCCTGGGCAACTTAAGTGACATGAGACCCTTCGTCAAAATAAAAAAAAAAAGGACTGCAAATATAGTTCAATGTAGAGGGTCCTGGGTTCAATTCCTACTGAGGATGGGGGTGGGAGAGCTCCAGAAACTTGGTCCAAAAAAGACCCTTTAAGTCCGTTCCCGGTAATAACAACAAAAAAAGACAGACCCTTTAATCAGATACTGTTAAAGCTACAGACATTGAAAATATGCTTTAGACATTTAGATCCCTCATGAGCTCAGATAACCTGAGGTTGGGTTTTGTTTTTTATTTTTGAGACAGGGTCTAAGCAGCCCAGGCAAACCTCCAACTTGCAGTCCCCTGCTTCCGCCTTCCATATGCTGAGATTGCAGGCATGCACTACCACGCCTGCGGAGGTTTTGAGGTCAGTAAATAAATTAGGAATGTCTAATTCATTTTCAGAAAGTCCAAAATACTCTACCCAAATAGGTATCTCCTTATATGTTGAATTTAAGCTTTTATCACAAACATAAAAAGGCCACATGGGCCGCGGATGTAGCTCAGTGGTTCTGCCACCTGCCTTGCAAGTGCAAGGACCCAAGTTCGATCCCTGGTACCCCCTCAAAAAAAGGCCACATACAAGACTTTAAGTAGCAACTGCTTCACATTACTTTCAGCTCCCAATTATTTCTGCACCAGACTTTTAATTCTAGATAATTTTTACCTAAGAAATCAAGTGTTTTGAATGCTGCAGAATTCAAAGGTTGAGAATTTCTGCCCTAGTAACAGATATAACATCACATTTCTCCATGTTTTGCCAAATCATACCTACATTTAAAAATCTGACTCAGTAATGTTACTTGACTGTATCGTAAAACAGGATTAATTTCCTGTGCCTTGAAGTTTCTGTATGCTCATTGCTGAGTCTGAGACAGATTAATCCCCCTCTGAAAACCTAACCACAAGAGTACAATTATGTCCACTCCCTAATTCTTTTACATTGAATTACAAAGTACATTGCTTTATCATTTAGGAATCCCTTCAGACTAATAAAACATGTTACCAACTGACTTTGTAATTAACAAAGCCCAACATTTTTCCTAAGCACTGTGACAGCCAGTTAGCCTACAAAACCCAATAACCCCCATTTCCCAGCATTCACATCCTTGTGTAGTCCCATCCCTTGGTGTACCATGGTGCTATATTTGGTCATGAAGAGAGCTTCTGTTTGTTCTCTTGGATTACCTGCTCTGGGGGAATTTAGATGCTGTCAGCCAGGCAGCTTTTTGGAGATGTTCATCGTGAGGCGCTGAGGCCCAAAGGCCATGTGAGCGAGCCACCTTGAAGGTCCACTTCTCCAGCCTTAGTCAGGCCTTCAAGATGATGCAGCCCTGGCCGACAACTTGACTACTGACTTAAGAAATCTCAAGTTGAACATTAGGCAAGCTACATCTAGATTTTTGAGTTAGAAACTGTGGGGAATAACATGTTTGTTGCTTCAAGCTGCTAAATTTTGGGCGATAACTAAGATATACCAGAAATAAGTAAAAATTTTACTTATATCTTTTTAAACTAGAAATATTAAGTACTGAGTTAATTTTGTCAAAGAGAAAATTTTAAATTCATGTTTATTTGATTAGAGGGAAAACATTCTCAAACTGACTCAACTACGAAAGAGAAAAAACCCTGTATACCATTATAGTTAAACAACTCAAAATACAGCACAACAGGACAGCTCCTTAGATCTTTTCTCACAGGATTAAACTGCAGATAGTGGACAGTGTTTCTAGCAAGGTGCAAAGGGTCTGAATTAGGGATCAAACTCGGGTCCTTGCGCTTGCGAGGCAGGCAGTGGCACCACTGCGCTAAATTCCCAGCTCCCTGTACTATTTTTATTAGTTCTTAAATATAAAAGCAAGCCAGGCATGGTGGCACAGGCCTATAAATCCAGTGCTGAAGGAGGTTGCAGCAAGAGGATCAGAAAGTTCAAGATGCCTCTACACAACTTAGTGAGATCCTAAAAAAATAAAAAGGGAAAGGCATGGAGCTCATCACAAAAGGTCTAGGTTTGATCCCCAGCCCTAGTATTGGGGGAAGGTCAACAAAACAGTATGGGCAACAGCATACAATGACTACCTATAGTTGCTAACTGCAGAATTCAGCACAATGTGGGTGTTCCTTTGACATTTCATTTAGACATCACAGATCACTACCAGAACATCACGTAAGTTTATTTCAGATGTAACAGCAATGTTAAAATTGAAAAGTTAAATTTTTAACTGCACCAAGTAAACTTAACCACTTAAGTATTTTTAACGTTATTCCCTCCAAAAACTGAGGGAGCTTTTCTTTTCCACCACCACAAACCACGGTTTCCCAGTAGTTCTTTCTGAAGGATTTTTCAACCGATGAAAAAACTGCTTTGGAGATATTTTAGAACTCTTTTCCTCAAATGAAAACTAATTTGGACAAATTATATATTGCATAGATTTCTCTACAGATTCTTTTTTAGACCTAAATGCAACTTATCATGTGGTATAATTTTAACCTATTTGCCCCACAGTAAAAACCATCTATCCTATGTCTGGGGATTTAGCTCAGTGGTTTCACTGCCTGCTGCGCAAGCGCAAGGACCCTAGTTCAATCCCTGGTACCAAAAAAAACCCCCCCCAAAAAACTCAAAACAAACCATCTATCCTGAAAAGTATGATGGATATATCCTGTGATCTTCTAGTAAACAGAATTACTGATTTATCTCCAAGATTATTTTTACCATTTGTCAAAATAATCAACTCAACGCTGGATATTAGTCTTTATTGACTCAAAGATATATGAACTAGTGCCCAGTTTCTATCTCTTCCACATTGTCCTTCCTATATGTGGAATTATTTAATACCAGTTTGATGGAGGACAATTAACCCTTTACAAACACTAAGAATTTAGATTAAGTCATTGACTAGTGTAGAAAAAGAAACTATAATGGGAAGCCTACACACTCAATTCAAACTTGAATATTTTTCTTCTGTCTTTAAATAACATGTACTTAATTGTGAGGCAGCTATTTGGCTTTCAATAACCACATTTAGGGATACATTCATAGGACCGCTTAGATAGTCCAAGTGAAATAGTTATAGAAATAGAGGCAGTGTTGTCTCAGAAAATTCATATATATCAAAATCTATTTTGATATCCGGAAGTTTACAAAAAGGCTGAATTCTTCATGCTAATTATGCTTTCTGTAACTCAAGCACTCTTTTCTTGGCAAGAGCAAGCTGAAACATCCATGAAGGTAAAGGTGCTCAATGTTAAACGTTTCTTCTAAGCTTGGATTTGGATTAATAAACAGATACCAAAGAAATCACAGCACGGTCTTTCTACATTTTCACTAAGATTAGGACCCTACAGACTCATTCATTAACCATCTTTCTTAAAAATTTTTCTTGGCACTCAAGACTGAAGTCTATTTTACTTTGTACTTTCACATTTTCAAATGAAAACTTAAGTTTATAAAGTGTGTACAAACATTTTGTAAAGTAATTTTGCCATGTAACTTATTTGGAGATGAGACTTTTACATATAAGGATAATTATAATTATTACAAGTCAAATTTCCTTTTAAAGTCAAGTAACAGAGAACTCAAGTTTTGTGCGTTTCTTAATTCTACCAAGAACATTTCTTGAGCCACCACCGACAATCTAAACAAACTGCAAATATTAGAGATTGGACAACTGGAGGAAAATGTAAGTATTTCAAGTGTCTCATCTTATAAAAAGTTATCAACCTGTCAGAGCCACTCCCTACTTGCCAAATAATGATCTAGCATAAAACCAGTCCTGTCACTAGAGGAAGGAGGTCACAGTGATATTTGTACTATTAACACTTTACGCTTCTACTTTTCCAAGAATAGAAGCAATTTGTTTAACAATTCCTCTTATCCCAAATCCTTAAACTCAATATTGTAGGCACAGAGTTATAAGCAAATCTGGGATATTCTCCAACAGATAAGGAGTATCATAACTATGTTATTCTCAAAAAATACTGTCTAGATATTCTTTCCTATATAAGCAAACACTGGCCACATTTTTAACAGCCTGTATTAGTTGACATTAAATGCATTTATTGTGCCACAAGTCCATCTAAGCTTTCCTTTAGGTATTTTAAATATGTCTAAGAGAAAATCATCTGCTTCAGGTTTATTTAGGTGTGTTAACCTGTAAGTACATCAACTTCATTTTAAAAGTTAAACTCAATATAGTATTGTTGGGCTTACTGAAGAAAAAGGACAGGAAAAAAAACTAAATCACAATAAACTTCTTTAGGTCAGTTAAAGGCCATTATCTCTAGCTGGGATATTAAAAAAATTTAATCTCACCAGCTCACACTCTAAATGTTAATACCTCTAGTAACAATAGCAGGAAAAAAAGACCTGCTGACTACCAGTCCACTTGTTAACAAAAAAAGTTTAACTCAAATACTTAGGCCAAAGTATAACACTACCTACCCAAACTGTCCCACCCATCAGCAAGAAGAGAAAAATCAATTGCTTTAAAAATCTAAATAAGCTTAATATTTCTTATAAGGATAACAATGGTCCAACTCCTGAGAGAGTGCTCAGAAGGACTAAAGGTGGAGTGAAGGCAATGTCCAGGGATAAGCATCCCAGAAATAGTTTTTAAAAACCCAAAGTACCACAAACACACTAAACTTGTCTATGAAATCAGAGAAAAAGATATTGCTGCTGCTTCTTTTAGTCTTTTGGAATAAACAATATTTGTAGGCTCTGCCCTTCAATGTGAAAGCAGGACATTAAAAAAAAAAAAGCTAAAAAATTTGAAATAATTTGATACCCAAAATTTTCGGGTTATACATCTTAACTATGAAACTGAACAGATCTTCTTCCTTCAATCCAACCACCTCACAAAACTGAGAGAACTAAAACAATCCAAACATGATTATTTTTAGAAGTCCTCGAAATAAAACTTTTAAAGGATCAAAGGGCGGGGGGGACGGGACCAAGAACAAGAGAACAAGGAGGGAAAGCTTAACAAAGGGGGCTGGGGAATTAATGGGCCTCTCTTTTTATTTGGCGACAAGCAAGTGCAAGAAAGTTCATTTGTAATTTGTTCAGTTGTCTGTCTTTTGCGCATCTGCATTCTGACCAGAAGGGACTTTGAGGTTTTTCTGAAGCACATGAGCATCAGCAGGCTCTATCCTCTTATAGTAGTTCTTCTTTGTCTCAATAATCTCAAAACCAAACTTCCTGTAGAAGTCAATTGCTGACTCATTGCTGATCTGGACGTGCCTAAGATGTAACAAGGTATAAAGATAAAATAATAAATTAAAATTTATCAACTCTATGTCTTCTCCACAGACAGGTTCAAATTGGTTCTGGAACGTTACATTCTCTTCACAATTGCTAGTAACCAACCAAGATTACTTCATGCTTATCACAGAACCTTTTGATGACAATTTGAAAATTTTAACTTTTTAATTCTTTCATTTGCAAGACAGATGGCTGAGATTAGGATGCCCTCATAGTTAACAAAGAGTAAAGTACTATGTCTGTCATATTTTTGACTATAAGGGAAGATTTCTGTAATTTAAAATGGGTTAAATAACCATATGGATGAATCAAAAGTCACATTAAATGAGCCAAAATAAAAATGATTAAAAAAACAAAACAAGAAACTAGGGTCTCAAATGCCTGAATATATCCTATCATATATACATGAAAGAAATGTTGTATTTTAAATGAAGAAATCTAAGCTTTCTCTATTACTCCTCAAAATAACATTGCATAATTTAATCTCTCCCATCACCTAAACTGAATTACAAACAATCCATGGCTATGATTTTAGTATTGGCTCTTAATCTGTAAACTCTTGAGATCCAAATATAATCTAAGCTAGGTCATTTTTGATTTTGATTACTAAACTCTACTACAAAAACACACAGGACTGATCATCTTGAACAAAACACACAGAGTGCTAACTACATGGCACAAGAAAAATGCTATTAATGATATTAATGGTCTTGAATTCTGAACGGTTGTGTTTTAATCCTGGCTTTATCATAACTTGAGCTCTCCTCCCAATATAATTAAGCTATGTGTTGTACCTTAGGTTCCTTTCTATTATTAAAACAAAACAAAACTTTACTAAAAATTATAGTTGGTGTTCCATATCCACGGAATTTGCACCTGTGGATTCAACCAACACCAGACTGAAAAATATTCTGAAAAAACAAAAAGCTGCATCTGTACTGAACATATACACATTTTTGACATTCCCTAAATAATTCAGTATTTTTACATAGCACTTAATTGTATTAAATATAGTAAGTAATCTAAGTCGGTTTAAAATATATGGGAGGATATCTGTAGGTCCCATGTAAATACTATACGATTTTATATAGAGACTTGAGCTTGTCAGATTTTTATATCTCTAGGGAGTTCTGGAACCAACACCCTACGGATTCCAAGGGACAACTATACTTCCATGATATTTTCAAGGATACAAAGCGGCCTGATTTTAAAGTTTCTAGTAAAGATTTCTACTGACAATTTATTAAATTCATAGAACATTAAATATTATTTTACTTACAGATAGATGTTGTCAAAAGTGCCATCTTTTTCACAGATGTTTAAGACATGATTTAGCATTTTAGTTCCTATTAATGAGATAAACAACAATAAGTAACTTTAGGAATCAACCTTTAAATTCTACATCTTTTTATGTCCTAATAGAATTTACAAGATATCCTTATTTTCCCAAATTCTGTTCTCTCTATAACTACATATGTTTAAAACTATTAGTAGGAGAACAATCTTTTATTACAAACTTTTCCAGACAGATTAAAAAAAAACCAAACTCGCCAGGGATTTAGCTCAGTGGTTCTGCTGCCTGCCTTGCAAGCTCAAGGTTCCGAGTTCAATCCCTGGTAACAAAAAAAAAAAAAACAAAACCAAAAAGAAATAAACTATACTTGTTAAAAAACCAAAAAAAACCAAACTTGATCTAAAGGATATAAACTTACAGGGTTTTCAATTGAATTATGTTAATAAGTAGACTTATTAGGTCATACAGATAAACAATGTATTTATACTTGTTTGAAGAAAAAAAAAAACACAAATAATTTTACCTATTCCTAGCCTTCGGTAAGGTGCAAGACATCCTAGTGTCATGATGTAAAGTCTCTTCTGATTCTGTGAATGATCCACCCTGCAGCATACTGCGCCTACAGCAATATCATTGAAATAGGCTGCCATGGAAAATATAAAGATAAAATGTTCAATGAACAAGATAACACATTTCATTTAATCTCTTCTAAAAGACTAAATTGTTTCTATTACTGTTAAATTTTAATCAACTACCTGATGACTGTCAGTGGCCTCAAAAACCTCTTACATTATCTTAGGAAGGTTAAGCCTCCTTTGAAGAAAAGCCAAATCCGTGATAACACACAGGTACATGCTAAATAGTAAATATTTTGTATTTCTTTTTAAAATTCAATTATTCTCTCTAAATTGTTTCTCAGAACTTGGATCACTCCAATTTCTCCACTTGTATAATATAAAGACTAAATTAGTTAATGTCTTGCTCTATTATTAACAGGTACAGTTCAAAAATACACATTTTTAAAAAGGATTAAAAGAAAACAGTATACCAAGTTTTGCTAGCTCGCCAACCTCCAGCACATCCTTGTAGAACTTGTCATTATAGCTGACTGGAAAGATGACCTGGTTTAACCTCTTCAACTGTTTGATATTGTGTGGTGTTACATCTCCGAGCTCGATCCGGCTACTGGAACAAATCAAAAGGTACTCAATAAAATATAATCAGGTTCATTTGTTATGATGAACATTAAAAAGAGGCACAAAACCTTTTTTTATGATTGACAAATCCAACCCTTTCACAGTGACTTTATATTCCTCTAAGATTACCATTTAGGTCTAAGTAAACTTCATCAGACATTGAATTCAAACTCTACTCAGAGCTTTTGTACACATTTAGTGACAAAGACAGCACACAGCAACTACTAAGCAGGCCAACGGGCCAGGGATTTAGCCCAGTGGCACCGTACCTGCCTCACAAGTGCAAGGTCCTGAGTTTGATCCTCAGTACCAAAAAACCCCCCAAAAAGCCAGAATATCCTACAGTTAAGATGCAACCATCATTGATCAAAATAATTAATATTTAATACTGGCAAGGTGATAGCAAATGATATTCTTAAACCTTGTGCATGAGGATGTAAATATCATCTATCTCTTGAGGAAAATCTAGCACTATGTATTGAGAAGCTTAAATAGTACATCTTCTTTATCTAAGTAATCCTACGTCTAAATTTATTTTAAGAAAATAATTCAAATATGCAGTATGTGCGTTCTATTCATTAAGAACAGTGGGGACTGAGGATTTAGCTCAGTGGTTCTGGCACTTGCCTTGCAAGCGCAAGGACCCGAGTTTGATCCCCCATACCAAAAAAATAAATAAATAAATAAAAAACAAACAGTGGGCCAGCCCAGTGTGGTGGTACACACCTGTAATCTCAGCACTCAGGAGGCTGAGACAGGAGGATCACTATGAGTTCGAGGCCAGCATGTGCTACATAGTGCCTTCAAAACCAGCCTGAACTAGATAAAGTCTTTGTCTCAAAAAACAAAACAAACAGAAAATCCAAAAAGTTGTCCAGGAACTACTTAATATCAGATTCACAGATGTGATATTTAAAATTCACATTCCTAGACACCTCCTATTTCAGAACCAGAATCTCTGGAAATAAAACATTTTGAATGGAATAGAATCCACATTTTGAAAAACACATTTGAAATTACCTATCAAAAATGCAACAGTATTATTACTAAGAAACCATCATGCAATCGAAATAATTAGTTCCACTGAAAAAGGGACTAAAGCCCCAAAATTTGACTTACAGTAACCAAGCTATTTTGCCTCCAAAGCTGTCAAATTAAATTTTTAATAGCTCGTCAACTTTACTACAAGATAAAGGCTCATCAAATGTGATAAGGCAAACCTAAACCAAAATCTACACAATTTTTATTCCTATCATAGCCAGCACTATGAATAATAGAATTGCTTATTACTACTTGCTGCCTTTTTTTTTTTTGCAGTGGTAGGGACTGAACCCAGGGCCCCATGCTTATAGTATCTATCACTGAGCTACACTGCCAGCCCTATTTGACTTCCAAAACATAACAGTGGGTGATAAAAACAACAACAAAAGAGAACACTAAATAAAAATAAAGTAAAAAAAATTAAAATGATGTGATGCCCATCAAGTGGCCAGAAAATCATGGCCACTAATTAATTCATTTGGTGCTAGTCACCGTGGTCAACAGCAGTGACATCCAGACAATGTTTGTTAATTAATCATTTGTATCCTATTTGTAGTATGAAAATTCTTTGTTGGAGAAATAACTAAACAAGAATCTTAATTACTGTACTTTAATAATAGTAAAAAAGAAAAAGGATGAAAGTGTAAGTGTTCATGTATATAGACTGGTTAAATAAAACATGCTATATTCATGCTCATACATTACCATAAATATGTTGTAATATATTTTGTAAAAAAAGCACATTCCAATGACATACATAAAAATCCAACTTTTGTTAATATATACAGAAAAATATTTGAAAGGATACTCAGCCTATTATCCTGTTTACTTTAGAGGCTAAGGCAGGAGCAGTGTAAACTCTGGGCTACCCTGGGCAATTTACTGAGAACTGTCTTACGGGGCCAAAAAAAAAAAAAAATCACAAATTATAGGCAATTAAACAAACAGTATTCTCTGAAATGTTAAAATTTAGATACAGGAGAGCTCGGTGTGGTGACGCATGCCTATAATCCCCAGCACTTGAGAGGCTGAGGCAGGAGGATCACCTCGAGTTCGAAAACAGTCTGAACTACAAAGGGAGACCCTATCTCACCACCACCCCAAATTTAGATACAGGAAAACCTAGTCTGTATAACATTCTGCTTCCTAAGGAATTAGAAACAAAAAATAAGAAAACTTCAATAATTTTTATGCCAATGTTTTTCAGCATTTACTACATCTCAATCACCCTTGTATATCTTTATGTATTTTCCTAAAACCTGAGCACACACATTTTCTCTGCAGTTACAGATTTTTATTTTCAATACTGGGGAATCGAACTCATGACCTTGCACCTGCAAGGCAGGTGTGGGTGTCACTGAGCTAAATCCCCAGCCCACAGATTTTTATTTTCCTTTCCAGTTTCTAGCCACTAGTGAAGAAGGTAGTCTTCTCCCAAGCATTGGCAATTACAATGAATTCCCTGTGTAAGACTCATGTCTTCTTGTAGGTTATACCTCATTCACAGAACTCCCTCTTTATTAAAGCATATCTTGTTTTTTTTCTTAATCTTGAAGTAAATGACATTTTACCTAAAACTTTTTTTTTCTATCTAAACTCTTAATAGGCTTACTGCCCCATGGTCTACCACTCACATTTTGAAAAATAATGCAGATGTTATCCTGTAAAACTTGAGATCCTTTTAAATGTGGAAATCAGGAGCCAATCAAGCAGCCAGAAGGAGGCTCCCCGGCCACCACAGCACTGCTCCCAGCACAGAGGAGCAGAGCCATGCAAGTGCAAGCAGCACCAACCACCCCACCCACCCCAGTCAAAATGAGAAGACAGGTAAACAAGCCTCAAAACCAGACTTGCAGATCACCTAAAGCAACCCCAGTGGGAAACAAGATGGAACAATCTGATACTCAACCACCTGGACTCCCTGACCTGGCAACAAGAGAGGATCTGGAAAAAATGAAATCAGAAATACTTTCTCACATAACAGCAGAGAGTGTGCGCATAGTGCAAGACATGATTAATACTCTAGAGAGGACACATTAAAAAAATAGAGGAGCCAAGGAGCATGATGGAATCCCAACACAGGAAACAAATGGAATCCATAAAACAGATACAAATTTCCAGGAGAGTAAAATCTCCATCGAAAACTTACATGGCAGAATGAGCCAATGTGAGGACAGAATTTCAGATATAGAAGATACGACTGCAATTAGTGACCAGGAAAAGAAAAATTGCTTTAAAATTGTAAGGGACCACGAGAAATCAATCCAGCAGCTGCTAGACGATACAAAGAAGAACAACATAAGACTCACTGGAGTCAATGAAGAAACAGGAGAGAGTGCAGATGACATAAAAAAACTGTTCACAGAACTGATGGCAGAAAACTTCCCAAGCAGGGGAAAAGAATTTGACATACAGATAAGTGAGGCATATAGGACTTCAACTACCCTTGATCAAAAAAATTCTACACATAGGCATATAATAGTTAAGATTCCAGAAACCCAACAGAGGAACAAAATTCTCAAGCAGTTAGAGAAAAAAAAACAAATCACATACAAAGGAAAGCGCATCAGAATCACACCAGACTTCTCAATGCAAACCCTCAAGGAAAGAAGAGCTTGGAGTGAGGTATTCCAAGCCTTAAAGGAAAATAGCCTTCAACCCAGATTGATGTATCCTGCAAAACTATCTTTCAAAATTGACAGAGAGGGCCAAGGATTTAGCTCAGTGGTTTTGCCACCTGCTGCGCAAGCACAAGGACCCGAGTTCGATCACCGGTACCAAAAACAAACAAAAAAAAATTGACAGAGAAAATACTTTCATGACAAAGAGCACCTTAGGAACTTCATGAATACCAAACCACCACTCCAAAAAATTTTAGACAATATCCTAGGAAAAGACAACAAGGATCACAACCCCAGGAAGGCCAACAGAATGAATCTGTTAGGCATGACAAGAAATTAAATGCAAAGGGGGAGAATCCAACAAAAAGAAAAAGTCATGACAGGGATAAGTCAATGAGTAGCGTATCAGTTATAACCATCAATGTTAATGGTCTCAATTCACCATTCAAAAGAAATAGACTGGCAGAATGGGTCAAGGCATTTTTGGTGAAGTATGGACTATACGGCTTATCCGTTGAGAAAGTTCTGTTCTACTTCTAGTCTCCTGATAGCTTTTACCATGAATAGCTGTAGAATTTAGCCCAATATGCTTTCTGCAACTACTGACAGGATCATATGGCTTTTCCCTTTCCTCTGTTAAAATGACTTATGGGGGTGGATCTTCCAATGCTGAACCAACACTGCCACCCCTATAATAAAACCACTTTCTACATACTGCCAGATGTGACTTCTAATTGTTTTGTTAAACAAATTTTTATCTATGTTCATACTTTTTTCTTCCATTATCCTTATCCAGTTTTAGTATTAGCACAATGCTGATTTCCTAAAATGAGCGGAGAAGTGTTCCTTTTTTTTCTCCTTTAAATGTTTGATATAATTCATCAGTTAAAATGTATATGAGCCTGTTGTTGTCATACAGGTAGGTTTTCAAGCTAGGAATATACTTTAATAGGTGCTATTCAAATTTTATATTTCCTCCGAAGTCAGTTTCATTAATTTGTCTTCCAAGGTACTTCTTAGAAGTTGTCAAATTTATTTCAAAAAGGATTTTTATAATATGCTTTCTATATCATTTTAAATTCCGTAAAATCTGTGGTAATGTCCTCTAAATTTTGGTACTTTAATTTTAAAAATGTATAATTGATATTGTGTAATAGGAAGAAAAGGTCTAAAGAAGTAGGGGAAGTGGGAGGGGTTGGGGAAAGGAAAGAAGGGAAAAGAAAAAGTATGAGAAAAGAAAAAAAATGGAAACAGTCTTTGCAAACAGAGAAGGGTGGAGCGGGTGGCAGGCAGGGGAAGGCGGAAAAAAATAAGAACCAAGATACAT